GAATTTAAGATACTGCTTATTACGTTCAAAGCAATTCACGGCCTTGCTCCTAAATATCTATGCGATTTATTAACATTTAAATCGTCCTTATATAACCTTAGATCTTCAGATAGTATTTTACTTTCTATGCTAGCTGCTCGATCGAAGACGTTAGGTGATAGAGCTTTTATGGTAGCAGTGCCAAGGCTCTGGAACTCTCTTCCAAAAGAACTTCCTGCGATTACTAATGTGAACAGTTTTAAGGCGCATATTAAGACTTATCTTTTTAAAACTTTATATTGGTGAGCAATTTTATGCATATATATATATATTGCATGCATATATATTCTTTTTATTTTTTATTTATTTTATGTTATTTTTTATTTTTTATTTTTTTTTTAATGCATTATCTTTTATTTGTTTCTTTTAAGTAATGTAGTTGTAATGCGCAGCTGATCATTCTCATGTTAAGCTGCACACAATAAGTTCATAAATTATTATTATTATTATTTAAGCTCTCAACGTTTGAGAGAGTGCAGGAAATCTCGATCGATACGATCCAGGATAAACATGTTAAAAATCCAAGATTGCTAACGTAATTCGTCACCCATGATATTAACAGGTAATCAAATGGTATACTCGTGAAATTAGGGAATAATTTCACTTGCGTTTTGTCCAAATCCTAACAATTTCCCTCGCCTAATAAGGATTATTCCCTAATTTCACTCGTCACCATTTGATTACACATACTTATTTGCAAACGCGAGGAGAGTTGATGTTAGCAAATTTCGGGTTGAAAATACGGCCATTTTGAGACTCCGACCACGAAAACTGATATTCTTACTCTTTTCTCGAAAATAAAAGGCTTTTTGAGAGAACAACTTACATCAGATTACTTATCTACCTAAAAGCTATTTATGGACAAAAAATGAAGGAAATCGATTTTTCAACTCTTGCCACTCGATGCTCGATATTTCCTGACAGTCGCTCTTAACTATTTGGCACTAATTGTTACATCCTGTTTCACGTGCGCAGGGGTAAAAATTACCTTTCAGACTCTTGTCAATATACTGTATAGTGTAGCAGTCTTAACAAAACCCATGATAAAAGTAAACAATGAAAACGACGGCCCTCTAGCCTAAATCAAACATTCCTTACTAGAAATACGTGTATCGCAGAACCTAGCGAAGCCCGGGGTGGGGGGAGCCCATAAGGGGTGGGAGGACAGGAGAGAAATGAAGTAAATCATGTAACTGGGGAGGGTGTATCTAATATTGGAAGCTGAGATGTACTTAATCTCCTGTGGATTAAATTTGAACCTAGTGCTCTGGCTTTAAAAAGGATCTTCTGAGATTTAAATGGGGTTGTTGTTGTTAGTGAATGCTGCATAGGTCCGATCCCCCCATGTTCACTCCATTTGACCCTCCTACATGTGTGTAATTATGGTCGAAAGGAAATGGGGGTGATAGTGGATAACTGCCGGCTAATATTCAGTTGCATTTGCTTAATAAAACCTCACCCTTAAGTGCAACAATTATTTGTGAAATGTGTCAGTAGAAGTAAGTGGATGGCAATTCTAGGAGATAATGCTGCAGTGAAAACAACAACTAAATGCTGCTAATTGGAGAAAAAATTTATTGTTCGGTGAACTACAGTTATAAAAGTGTTTGCACTTTTTTGGGTACATAATCACACTTGACAACTATTGTTTGTAACAGTAAAGTGCAAACATAATCACTGAAATAAAAAATTACAAGTAGCAATGTCATTAAGGATGCAGTTCATGAGAATTACTAAAATGATCATGATTTATGATTATTGTATGTGTGGGCATTCACCTTAAAGAACTGAATCCATGTAAAAAGTACCAATTTTTTACCAGTTAGGCAAGTGTTCATAGTTATTCGTGTACATGCATAAGAAAAAAATCCCTATGCAAGAGTGAATTTGTATGAAATGTCCACAAACAAGTTATGTTGAAGGTGATCAGTTTCTCCATTGGTCTCAATTCTAAACATGCATGAGCTTGTTGAGACAGTGCCAGAGCCATAGATTTTTAATTTCCCAGACTGAGACGAGGCAAATGAACACTTTCCCTATATTACATGCATTTATCGATAATGTAAAGCTAAGTGCAGGATGGATTGATTTTATGGGAAACCCTACATAAATATCTGCTTGCATGTTGTTTAATTTCTTGAAACAATCTTCATCTGCCAATGGAACAAATGTTTTATTTCTGTGAATATGTCACCTCTGTCTGACTTCCTTGAAAGAGTGAAATTTTATGAGTGACCTGTTAAATTTTCCCTAACAGCGAAAGGAATTTTAAAACGTTCCTGGCATGGCAACCATGTCACACACTAATATTCTGAGGATATCCGAAATACTGATGTTATTTTCGAATAATATAGGGAACAAAAATATAGGGGGCCAGCAATAACAAATTTTTGTCATGTTTGACTTAAAAGACACAGCTGGGTTTATGTATAAGGCTATACATACATATACTTTACTTGTCAAGGAAATTGAATGAAAATTGTAAGCTTAAACGAAAAACTCTCCCCAGTAAGGATTTTGTTTACAAAATGTAACGCTTCGCTACATGTCACACATCGGTATTGTAAACTGTTCATTGTAAATTAAAGCTTACTGTAAAACGGTGAAAAGGCTGATCGGCTGTCCTCAGTCCGTTGCAAAGATACTCCTCATGTCGATTTTACAGATGGTGTAATTCTTGCTTCCTATCGTTGCATCGAAGAAGATAATTTTGACTGTAAACTTGCCTCTCCTTGCGAATTCTATTGACCGAATACTGAAACGTCGGCAGTCGGTGTTCCCTCTCTTCGTCGGCTTCTTTTGTAGTGTAACTGTAGTATTTTGTTGCTAACTCTTTACATATTCGTGGTCGCTGTATAACCTCTGTCTCCAGTTGATATGCCTTCGCTCTGCCGTTACTCGCGCTGAATTTAAAGTCCACGTCCTCGCTCTTGCGGGGTTTTGTTTGTATATCTTTCCCAGCGAGGATTTCCAGGCACTTATTGAATCCACCGTTGTTGAGTTTGCTGTTCTGTTTTATTTACCTGAGATATTGCATGGGTGGTGACTCACCGACCGTAAACATTGTTATAATTCACAGATGAAAAAACCTGTCTTCATGAATAAATCCCAGAGCTTTGTCGTCGATGTAGACTACGAGAAGTCCCCCTTTTTTTCCTCAGGGATAGACTAGAGCGAGCGAAACGCGAGGGCGCGTGAAAATCACCCCACGCGAGAAAAAGGCGACACGCGGCGCCGCGTGTCGCCTTTTCTCGCGTGGGGTGATCTTTACGCGTGCTCTCGTTTCGCTCGCTCTACTAT